TGGTGACCAGCAAAAGTGCTGAATCATGAGATTTACTAGACAGCTACTACAAGAGTTTACCGAAACAAGGACTACAAACACATGACTCCTTTCCCCCAGCCCATCCTTTTTCGTTCCATCCCATCCACAAATTCTTTTGTTTCAAGTCTGAAGAAAGTTTAATTTTTGTTCTCATCAATTTGCTTAGGAAAATGCTACTCTGAAAGTTAAGAACTTGCTTAACTTTACAAACAATCTATATCCATTGCCAGTTTATAGTCACTTGAACTTGCATTTGTATTTTTCAGCCTAAAAGCCTCTCTTTTTCACCCCAGTATTCATGCCACACATGTACTTGATAGGAGATAAAATGTTGATTGTAAAACTGAACATAACTTGAACAAGACATGCTCTTTCTAAACTTTTCATAAGGAAAAGTCTCTTTTTTTTTTTTTTTCTCTTTAATCACTAAAGCATAAGCCTCTTTTGAATCATTGGTGACCGGGGCTGTAATCAGTGTGCTAACTGGGGTCTTGCCCCCACCTTGTAGTGGCACAGCTGACGCTCAACAATCTCTCACCAGCAACATTTCCTCTAAAACATTTTCCATGCTGTGCACTCAGATGGCATGCTGTATTGTAGCTCTTAAGTGCATGTTGCTGGATAGCATCACGGCACAAACATGTTGCTATTAACAGGTGTTGATTGTACTACTATCTCTACTGAATATACCACACCAAACAACTCCAGGCTAGCATTCCTCTTCCTCATGGCAGTTCACGATCCTTCTTTCAGTCAGTCAGTAAACCCACATTTGTCTGTCTTGGTTATCTCCAGTCTGGGCATGATCATATCCATAGTTCTGCAGTGGGAGATATGTGCCAGGACACTGAACTCTGGTGATGGCCGCATCTCCTAGCATGTGTTTTAGTTGAATCTCACTGGCTAAACAGCTTTTCTAGTGAAAAATTATCTGCCTTTGATACCTAAGGTACTTTAAACAGGGGTTCTGTTGGCAAAAGTTAAATCCCCATTTTAGGCATTGAAGTGCCTTTACTAAATATCTCCCTAAGATACTGGCTTAATGCGTTATCCTGATTAAAATCACTAATATGAAGTAGTACAGGTTAGTGGAGTAGTGATCCTCTATTTAAGGGTCTGGTTGCAAATATGTAAGTTGTAGTGAATCATCCCTTTCACTCTGGTCTCACTAGGAAGCAGGCTGCACTTCTCCAGTGTGGCTTCTGAGGGAAAGGACTGAAGAGTGAAGTAGAGACTCTAGGTGGAAGAATTGTAAGCAGCCCAAGTGGGGGACTGGTGCACTTTCCGGCAGGGTATAAATTGGGCCCATCTGGTGCCTTCATTTTCTGCAGGGTTCCTCTCCAGACCCGCTCTTGGGCAAAGCAGACTGTCTGCCTTGTGTTGGCCCTGTGGCCTTCTGTAAAGACTACAGAGATGAGCCAGCCAGATGCTCCTTTGGGAGGAAGCAGCAAAACAAGCATCCCTGGACGTATTGGACAGCACTGTGGCAGCAATATGCTTTGCCTAGTATGTGCACAGATGCTTCCTGCTGCTCACCTACTCTGGCTGATGTGCTTCAGACTTGGAGGTGAACTAGTAAAGTGGCTCTTAAGCATGCTGGAGACCAAGACTGGGCATTTGGAGGGGTGCCCTCATGTGGCCTCACAGGTTTGGACCAGGTGAATGGCATGTGTTCAGGGAAGTCTGAATTAGGATCACAGTGTCAGCACGCTCATAAAGAGCTTTGTGGTGGTGACTGAACTTCCTTTGTTCTCTGCTGTTGGGCTGTATGCACCTGGGCATGCTCTCACTCCTCTCTCTGTAGTCGGACGGGATCCTCTACTAGTTTGAACTCGGTACCGTACAAACAGTGAGGTCCCACTTGTCCTTTAGGCAGTACCATAATAAATGAGTAGTTAATTGAATGATGAGACTATGAATCTTTGAAACAGCCACTTCACTTTTTGAAACAATAGGAGTCTAGGCAGAAGCCAAGCACAAGCGTGAATTAATAGACATGTCAACAAGCCAAGCTTAAATAAATTGGAAAATGTTGATAAGGGTTTCCTGTTCATATTTATCCTGAAAGTCTTCGTAATCCAATATTGGGATGTTTATTTTCGTGGCATAAATGCTTCATCATTATTTCTGTACTGAGTTCACATACTATGAAGCTTGATGTAAGTTCTCAAAACAAACAAAAATACTAGTGACTCTTCCAATACGTGCCTGTAGGGCCTAACCTCCCCCTGCCTTTATGCAGGTCACTATAAAAGTACCTAATTGCATGGTTCCTGTTGCCAAGAGTTTAGTCTAATTAGATCTTTTTCTATTGGTAAGGACTGTGGAAGACTGCCCTTCCAGTTTCTTCCCTGACTCTTCTATTAGGTTTTTCCTTGCCATTATCTTCTCACCTGTCGGCAGTAACCTGGGGCAACCAAACTGACAAAGGTGAGGAACTTCGGGTAAGAGGGTGGGAACTCCACCTCTCTCTGGTGTTAGCACTGACCTCATGGCATGGCTTGAGTCCATGTCACTCCCTTAGGTGACCAGTGATGCTTTTTAAATTGGTCGGTCGGCATCAAACAACACCTGGCCTTGATTGGGTCTCAAGTCATGTCAAAAGGGCTTTATAAAGCTAAGACTTCCCAGGAGGAGGGGTGGCAGCCATGTTAAGTTGCATACAGCAGCTGGAACATCTGCAATTCTTTCTTTCCCTCACAGGATGCTGAAGTGAGTAAACTACTTGGAACTTACCTAGCTATATAGCTTACTGTAATATACAAGTGGATCAGACCGCTACTAAGCTGACGTGGTTTGCTCTGGGTT